CATTGTCATGCTAAAACAGGAAAGGGCCTTCCCAAAACTGTTGCCACAAAGTTGGAAGCACAGAATCATCTAGAATGCCATTGTATGCTGTAGCTTTAAAATTTCCCGTCACTGGAACTAAGGGGCCTAGCCCGAACCATGAAAAACAGCCCCAGACCATTACTCCTCCTCCACCACCAAACTTTACAGTTGGCACTATGGATTCAGGCAGGTAGTGTTCTCCTGGCATCCACCAGGACTGCCAGATGGTGAAGCGTGATTCATCACTCCAGAGAACGTGTTTTCACTGCTCCAGAGTCCAATGGCGGCAAGCTTTACACTACTCCAGCTGAAGCTAGGCATTGCGCATGGTGATCGTAGGCTTGTGTGCTGCTGCTCGGCCATGGAAACCCATTTCATTAAGCTCCCAACTAACAGTTATTGTGCTGACGTTGCTTCCAGAGGCAGTTTGGAACTCTGTAGTGAGTGTTGCAACCGAGGACAGACAATTTTTTTGCGCTACATTGTTGCTCCTAGAGGTTTCCACTTCACAATAACAGCACTTACAGTTGACCGGGGCAGCTCTTGCAGGGCAGAAATTTGACGAACTGACTCGTTGGAAAGGTGGCATCCTATGATGGTGCCACGTTGAAAGTAACTGAGCTCTTCAGTACAGGCCATTCTACTGCCAATGTTGGTCTATGGAGATTGCATGGCTGTGTGCTCGATTTTATACACTTGTCAGCAATGGGTGTGGCTGAAATAGCCAAATCCACTCATTTGAAGGGGTGTAGTTGACATTTGTATCTAAAAGCATAGAGAAATAATTAATCAAAGTTGGCATATTTAAGACATTTTGACCCTACCAGGAGCATTGCAAGACACCATAACTGTTTATCTATATGTGGCACAACCTTAATCTTGATGTCATTTGAAACCTCATTGTGTGTTCTAAAATGAGTAATACATGATAGAAATGTACATGATGGAAATGTACATGATTTTGAAAAGTATGACAATTTATATTACAAATATGCCCTCTTAAATTGTTCTCATATTTCAATATGTTGTTGTTCTATGGACTGTGTTTTACTGACACAGAAATTTACAGAGTAGGATATCTGGGACATTTTGAGTTATGACCAAATATACAGTGGGGAGAACAAGTATTTGATACACTGCCGATTTTGCAGGTTTTCCTACTTACAAAGCATGTAGAGGTCTGTAATTTTTATCATAGGTACAGTTCAACTGTGAGAGACGGAATCTAAAACAAAAATCCAGAAAATCACATTGTATGATTTTTAAGTAATTAATTTGCATTTTATTGCATGACATAAGTATTTGATACATCAGAAAAGCAGAACATAATATTTGGTACAGAAACCTTTGTTTGCAATTACAGAGATCATACGTTTCCTGTAGGTCTTGACCAGGTTTGCACACACTGCAGCAGGGATTTTGGCCCACTCCTCCATACAGACCTTCTCCAGATCCTTCAGGTTTCGGGGCTGTCGCTGGGCAATACTGACTTTCAGCTCCCTCCAAAGATTTTCTATTGGGTTCAGGTCTGGAGACTGGCTAGGCCACTCCAGGACCTTGAGATGCTTCTTACGGAGTCACTCCTTAGTTGCCCTGGCTGTGTGTTTCGGGTCATTGTCATGCTGGAAGACCCAGCCACGACCCATCATCAATGCTCTTACTGAGGGAAGGAGGTTGTTGGCTAAGATCTCGCGATACATGGCCCCATCCATCCTCCCCTCAATACGGTGCAGTCGTCCTGTCCCCTTTGCAGAAAAGCATCCCCAAAGAATGATGTTTCCACCTGCATGCTTCACGGTTGGGATGGTGTTCTTGGGGTTGTACTCATCCTTCTTCTTCCTCCAAACACGGCGAGTGGAGTTTAGACCAAAAAGCTATATTTTTGTCTCATCAGACCACATGACTTTCTCCCATTCCTCCTCTGGATCATCCAGATGGTCATTGGCAAACTTCAGACGGGCCTGGACATGCGCTGGCTTGAGCAGGGGGACCTTGTGTGCGCTGCAGGATTTTTATCCATGACGGCGTAGTGTGTTACTAATGGTTTTCTTTGAGACTGTGGTCCCAGCTCTCTTCAGGTCATTGACCAGGTCCTGCCGTGTAGTTCTGGGCTGATCCCTCAACTTCCTCATGATCATTGATGCCCCACGAGGTGAGATCTTGCATGGAGCCCCAGACTGAGGGTGATTGACCGTCATCTTGAACTTCTTCCATTTTCTAATAATTGCGCCAACAGTTGTTGCCTTCTCACCAAGCTGCTTGCCTATTGTCCTGTAGCCCATCCCAGCCTTGTGCAGGTCTACAATTTTATCCCTGATGTCCTTACACAGCTCTCTGGTCTTGGCCATTGTGGAGAGGTTGGAGTCTGTTTGATTGAGTGTGTGGACAGGTGTCTTTTATACAGGTAACGAGTTCAAACAGGTGCAGTTACTACAGGTAATGAGTGGAGAACAGGAGGGCTTCTTAAATAAAAACTAACAGGTCTGTGAGAGCCGGAATTCTTACTGGTTGGTAGGTGATCAAATACTTATGTCATGCAATAAAATGCAAATTAATTACTTAAAAATCATACAATGTGATTTTCTGGATTTTTGTTTTAGATTCCGTCTCTCACAGTTGAAGTGTACCAATGATAAAAATTACAGACCTCTACATGCTTTGTAAGTAGGAAAACCTGCAAAATCGGCAGTGTATCAAATACTTGTTCTCCCCACTGTATATATTTGGTCATAACACAGAAAGTCCCAGAGATCCTTGAGGCATCACTACAGACCCGGGTTCGATCCCAGGCTATGTTGCGGCTGGGATATCCCTGTCCCATCACGCTCTAGCGACTCCTTGTGTCGGGCCAGGCGCATGCACGCTGACTTCGGCCACCAGCTGTATGGTGTTTCCTCTGACACATTGATGTGGCTGGCTTCCGGATTAAGCGAACAATGTGTCAAGAAGCAGTGTGGCTTGGCGTGTTTCGGAGGACGCATGGCTCTCGACCTTCGCCTCTCCCGAGTCCGTACGGGAGTTGCAGCGATGAGACAAGACTGTAACTACCAATTGGATATCACGAAATATAAATGTTCATACTTTCCAAAATCACACAATAAATGTACATTTAGATCTTGCATAATGAAATGTATTACTCAATTTAGAACATGTTTCAAATGGTATCAAGATTAAGTTTGTGCCACATATAGATCAACAGTTATGGTGTCTTGCAATGCTCCTGGTAGGGTCAAAATGTCTTAAATAGGCCAACTTTGATTAATTATTTCTCAATATGCTTTTAGATACAAATGTTTGGGCTTAGTGGGACTATCATTTGTTTTTCAACAGGACAATGACATAACACACCTCCAGGCTATGTAAGGGCTATTTTACCAAGAAGGAGAGTGATGAGTGCTGCATCAGATGACCTGGCCTCCACAATCCCCCGACCTCAACCCAATTGAGATGGTTTGGGATGAGTCGGACGGCAGAGTGAAGGAAAAGCTGCCAACAAGTGCTCAGCATATGTGGGAACTCCTTCAAGACTGTTCGAAAAGCATTCCAGGTGATGCTGGTTGAGAGAATGCCAAGAGTGTGCAAAGCTGTCATCAAGGTGGCTATTTGAAGAATCTCAAATATAAAATATATTTTGATTTGTTTAACACTTTTTTGGTTACTACATGATTCCATATGTGTTATTTCATAGTTTTGATGTCTTCACTATTATTCTACAATGCCAAAAAAATTACAAAATAAAGAAAAACCCTTGAATGAGTAAGTGTGTCCAAACTTTTGACTGGTACTGTATGTCAACAATCCTTCCTCCAAAGGACCATTGTATGGATTCAATTTTGTGACAATCCAAAAAAATCACGGTCCTTTTTTGTTCTAGTTTCATGAGGAATCGCCCCCAGACTGGCTAATGTGCACTGCCTTCTCAATGGGGTCCTGAAGTTGAATTAAGTGTGTAAGTGTGTTTGTTTGTGTGAAGTTTCTCCACTTTAAATGCATAGTAGGCCTAACTGTAGCTGACAGCTTGTGGCTAATAAATCAAATTCCTTTAACACTGTGTCCTACTCTGGGTATATGGGGGTAGATGACGTTCTGCACCAACAGCGTTCACATACAATAAATAGTAAATGCATTGAGAATTAATGGTTGGATTTCAGAAGATGCTAACGAAGTGAATAGATATGTGGATTACGTAATGTTTAGATGGGACATCCTGAATGGGACATGATGTGAAGACCACCCAGACAATAAAATAAACAAAATCAAATCATAAGTAACTAGCTAGCTAAAATTGTCAGTTGTTCACTAGCTAGCTACGTAATGAATGCGTCTTACCTTTTTGACAGGTTTGTGAATAGGGACCGCACTGAACGCAGCAGAAGACACTGACAGTTCACCCATGGTAATGTCGCTGTTCTTGCTCACTGTCATTGCTGAGTATTTTTCAGCCACGTTCTCGCTCTCCTTTACTTCTTTGCTGGCTTGTTTCAGCTCCAACTTTCCGTCCCCCGGAGTGTCCGACATTCCGATAAATAATTAAAACGTACAACAAATTAGTTAGCTCGTGGTTTAGCTAACGTTAGCTATCTACAGAATTCGCGTTACTCCCCACTGTTCGGTATTTTGCGGAAGACGGAATTATTTGTGCAGCTGGAGACTGTAATTCACACGATTTAGAAACAATTAATTAACAACCGTTTGGTGTATCAGTTGGTAATTCTATATTTACAAACTACAGTTTAGTAATTGCATTCATAAAACGGTTCGTTGCCTGCGCAGTTCCTTCTCGTGCAGCAATCTGTGAACTGCCTGTTTTGCCTAGCTGTCACCTGAAATTGTGGGCGGGGATTGAGGGCGCGCGCCTCTCCTCCCTTCGTTTGCACAAGCGTCTAGTAGAGGTTGCTCTAAAAGCACTGATTCAGAATCAGCTTCCCTGCCATATTACCTTATGGAAGGAAAACGCCAAAATGACCTTACATCAGACCTATGGATTTAAAGTTTTTTTTTAAATCATGCAGTGTGTATGTGTATGTGTACAGTACAGTTCTGGCAATATTAATTCCAATACAAAATATGTTGGAAGTTGGAAAATGTATTCATTGTATTTTCAGAGGCGTTCTTAACACATATACAGAACATTTGCTAATGCTGTTTCCTTTAAAAAGCATCTACATTCTTACAAGACTGTTACAACCCAAGATTTTAAAAAAACTGATTCAGGTAATATTAAGCATTTGATTATTGCCCTTTTCAAATGGAATAACCACAGGATACAAAAACACGTCTGAAAAAGCCTTAAAATAAGTGATGATAGTTACATATCATCAAGAACCAGAGGACACAATTTATCTGTACAAAGGAGAAACTACAGTTTCATATTTCTCAAGAGCATCAGGAAAGGAAGAGGGTTATCATAACCACTTTGGACTTGTGGCCTATAGGATTGTGCGTTTTTTGATCAAGTTCTTGTGGCACATCCAGAGATAAAAGTAACTGACATGAAACAAGTAAAGGTTGCTTTGGAAGGAACTTTCTTGTAGAACTTGTGCTGATCTTTTTTGTAAGACACTTCCTCCAGAAGGGCCCAATTGTTCTCCAGTGTTACCATGGTTATAGTGAGACATTGAAAGATGTACAGTATCTGTATGTGCAGTATCTCTGTGTGCTGGCAACTTCTTCACCCAGTCTGTCCTGCTCTCTACCAGGCTTCTGGGCAGGGAACTTGGGCCGCTTGGGACTGGTTGGAAAGCACTGGTTGATGTGTGGGACATCTGATCTTATTCCACCCCCCACCACCATTCTCACAGAGAGACAAACACATGAGCAAACACACGTCTCACAGGGCTTCTAGAGGTTCTGACACACGGATCACCTGCCAGACTGCCTCCTCTCCAGCATGTTGTTGGTCCGCCTGTACCTGGAGGAAGAGGAATGGTCAGTCAGCCTGCTTAATGACCATGCCACAACAACATGAGCCTCTCCCAGGTATAAGCAGCTAAAGTGTAGTATAATCCAGTCTGGGGGTTAGATTTCAATCAGACAATACCATAATCTAAATGCTCACTAATGTTTGTTAGGATTTGGTCTGGGAGGTGATACTACGTTATTGGTCAAAATGCATTTTCCCATCATACCAAGAGGCCTAAAGGAGCTACACAGTTTTATGTCTTAGATAGGGATTAATTTATGTGCTGAAGTGCTGTTACAAGTAACTGGTTCATATTTTATTAATTTATCAGATCCATCATTTTCAAACATCTTATAGTTTTGAATAGTTTTTTGTTTAGTGAACACAGATTTTCCGTAATGTTAAAAAAATATTTAAAAAACATTGAAAGCCAGGTCTTTATTCATATTAAAAACAATACCAACAGAAAGAGACATTTTTAATCGTATACACACACATCACAAATGTGTATGATGGACAATGAGACAGGTGGCAGTGTCAGAAAAATGGCAGCAATCATAAAAACTAATAGAAAACAGAAACAGGAATCATACACAAACACTATACACAGAAAACACACACATGGCCTCTTAATCTGTTACATGTGGTTAGCCATTACCAACTTCCCAATAAACCTTGTGTGGGCATAAATAAAACTGCTGCAAATTCAGGCTTAATGGGTGTATAAATACTGAATGCTCAGCGTTGGTGTGTCTTGCTCTTTCTCCAAGGATGGTTGGATGTATAGCACCATGTTTAATATTTAAAATTAGGATAATAGGATAAATCATCCTACATTGAAGGGTGGGTCTGATCCAAGACATTCATAATATGAAGCAGCATTGACAAAGGTTAGGATTATTTTTTATTTTTTTATAGTGATCTTGTGTTAAATTCATACAGTACCTTTAAACCACTCCCATCCTAGCCCTGCAGCTGTTAAATGAACACAGGTGTTAGCAGAGAGGTTTACACTACAACATGGTACAAGCTCAACAAGACAACACAGCAAGGAAGCAACACTGGACAAAAACAACAACATTAACATTCAAACATTCTTCAGTTTGCAACAAGAGCTCACACAAAGTAAAAACACATTTCAAATGACATTGGAGAACATTTTACTAAGTCAGTATCACAGGAGGTTGGTGGCACCGTAATTGGGGAGGATGGGCTCGTGGTAATGACTGGAGCGGAATTGGTGGAACGGTAACGAATACATCCAACACATGGTTTCCAGGTGTTTGCTGCCATTATATTTGCTCTGTTCTGGACATTATTATGAGGCGTTCTCCCCTCAGCAGCCTCCTATGGTCAGTATGTACAGCTCTATGTAAAAGAACAAGCTTTAGAACTCAGCATGGTTTGCCAGAGAGGTGGTTAGGAATCAAGTGGCTGCAATACCTCAAAATAACAAAAAATGTTTGTTTCTTTAATGTTTTTTAAAAATATGCCCGCATATAAAAGCAACCCCCTTTATATACTGAAAAAATACATAACTTGTAAAAAACAATACTATTCTTTGATATAAAATTATGAGGTAACCGATATAATAAAAACATACAAAGATAGCAAGGATGACTGTTTTAAGACTGCAGGGGAAATTAATGGCTGCAGTGGACATGTGACAGAGTGAGGGGTGGAAATGGCTGCTACTTGTTGGTTAGCTGAGGGAGGCAACAGAAGTAGATTGCCAATTAGAGTTGAGTTCAAGACCTCCGAACACGTCCTCTTGTTTGAGGGCGCCCTGAGCCCTCCTCACCTGCATGGCCAGAGCCATCTCCTCCCTCTCCTTCGGCGAGAAAAAGCGTCCGCCATCACCCCTCTTCCTCGCCATGGCGTGCTTGTGACGAGACTCGTGCAGGTATTTCTGAGGGACGAGTAAAACCACACTCACAGACAAGCACATAAACACTCAACAAAAACACATCCTTTATTGCCCACACCATTTCCTCTTCCTCACACATATACACATCTACTCGTGCTCACACAGGCACTCACCCTCCTCTCCTTGGGGATCTTTCCCTCTGCCTCCAGCTTGGCGCGGGCCTGCCGTCTCTTCAGGATGCGGTGGTACTGCTTAGCGTTGACGTACAAAGGCTCCTCCTCCAGCATCTCTGCCCCCGGCAGGGGGATACGCTGCATGGTGGGCACAGTGCCACCGCCACCAGGAACCATCTAACACATACACACACGGGTCAGACTGATGCATAGCATACACACATGCATGCCAACAGGTCTGTATTAATCTCACTAGGGACCTTACCATGACCATGCCGCCTGCGTTGACCATGTTCCCAGGCAGTGTGACGGTCACTGTACCCTGACTACTGTTGGTTGTGTTGGTGCTGTTCCCTGCCTGTACGATCTGAGCACCAGCCAGACTAGAGGCAGGGATGGTGATCATACCTGAGGGAACCGCACAAGGGTTAAGTAAAAATCTGTTATCATAGATTATTGCTCCAGAAGAGTGGAATGTGAAACACTTTGCATACAGCCACACATAACTGATTCAGTTCTAAATCAGCTGATAATCAAAAGGAGGGAACAATAGCCAGCACACTAATCATCCATCAAGACAATGTAAGGATCCCAGCTATGAGTGTGAACGTGTTACCTTGCTGTAGAATGGAGCCATCAGCGTTGACTGGCTGGTACACAATGGTCTGGCCGTCTGCAGTCTGAGCCACTTGCTGCCCCGGCTGCAATGTAATCTGCTGCTGGCCCTGAGAAACAAACATCAATAATCATTACCAGCCAGTTATCCACCACACAATGTGGTGGGTTTCTATGGTGTCCATAATGTTTTATGGATTACAGCTCTTTACATCAAAAATTACAAGTGGGCCTCAACTAAACAATGGAAACTACGTAAATGTGTTCCATTGTAGACCCAAATATTGTATAAAGAGTGTGTGTCTATACCTGGTTCTGTCCTGCGGTCACAGCAGTTTGGGGCTGCTGAATGATGAACTGCTGGGTCTGGCCTTGCTGACCCTGAACCTGTAGAGTCTGTCCCCCCTGGAGCTGGATCTGACCCGGCTGCACAAGCTGGATCTACAGCAGAGAGCAGGACAGTCTTAATCAGCCAGTCTGCTTTATCATATCTCGTTCAGTAATATCTTGTTAGAGAGGCATATTTGCTAGCTTTCAGATAGGTGTGGTGTACAGTAGTACAACAGTTCAGTCACCTGTTGGAGCCCCTGAGCTCCAGACATTGGCACCTGCATGATGGTCTGCCCCTGCCCCCCCTGCCCCCCCATGACCATAATGGGCTGGCCCGACGAGGTGATGAGCTGACCACCGCTCACCTGCACCATCAGAGGCTGCCCCTGCACCTGGGAGAGAGAGAGGAAGGAAGGAGTGAAAGAGACAGGAAAAAGGAAGGTGGCAGAATGTAAAAGAGACATGGACAGGAAAGGAGAGTGAGGTTAATTCAAGATATCTCTAGTGGAACTGCAACAATGCATAATGATCATTCTACGTGCCACAGCAGAGCTTCCATGCAGCACATGTTGACCACAGACAGACAACCCTGTAGCCTTGAGGAACAGTTACAGAACAAAACAGGCCAGAGGGCCACAAAAAGATCAACATGGTGCTGTGATAGTCAATGAACCTTTTCTTGGAGCTAGTTTGATCTCCACAAGATGCTGAATGAGCGCACACGAAAACACAAATGACAAGAAGGGAATCGTAATAGGGTCTGAGCATACTGTAATTTCAGTGTATGCTATATTCACCTGGATATTTACTTGAGATTTGAAAAAGCAATGTAGGAGTCTGGTCAATCATAAACCCAGCAAGGAGAGAATGTTATGCCGCTCAGAATATTGTAGTAGGTTACAAAATAATACACATATCATAGGATTCATGACTTGATTGTGGTATAACTGTACCACCTGTTGGACAATGTGAGAATAACACCATTGACAATGCAGACAACATGATTGATATTGGAGTGACATGCATGGAGTTTTGCAGCCTGGCTGACAGCAACTCATGATGACACTACGATCACAGGTGGCTGTAGTGTAGCAGTGAGGCCCAGGGGCTAGAGTATATGATGAGGGGACATGCAGGGAGTAGTGGTACGCGGGTCAGCGGTTTGTTCACCCACACCCGCTCGCAATTGCTAATAACCCATCCACCCAACTATATGTGATAAGGTGAAAATCTGCGGTCCACACCCGAATCTAACCCGCTAATATTTATATACCCGCTAATATATAATATCTAACCCGCATTTAAAAAAATGCTCTGTAGCCTACAGTCAGAGATTTCAGAACTATTTTTTGACAGGGGGTTCAGGATTTTTTTTTGCCTGATTTAGATATGTTTCTGCTTATAATTTCCAACATTTTGGTAGGCTATTTGTTAGTCAACTTGTCTATAATTATAATGCAGCTTCTCTTCTGTCATTAAATGTTTCCCTAGAAGACTAAATAAACCCTTGCTCACCAGAATAATGTCATAAATCGATAGAATGTATGCTTCAATCTAGTTGACATCGGTAAAGTTATTTCGTGGAGCAAAGACGTTTAGGGACTGGAGAGAAAATGCAATAACAAAAAAAAACTGAAAAGATTTTCCGTGCAAAATGTCCATATGACATCAGTTTGACCAGTTGTAAGGAAATAGAAACCTGTCAAAACAACCCAACATGTTCCTGATAAGATTTCAGTTTGGCTTGGATGCATATTTTATGTGGTCGAAATACTATCAACTTTTATGATGCTGATAAAGCCAGAACCTCTACAGACCGTATCTAACTGCGCAATCACATTCTCTCAAGATGCTGAAAGAATGAAATCATATTTCTCCACTTTCTCCAAACGTAGCCTACATTTGGTGTATCATTTTACTGCAAGAAATTGAGTTCATATTAAGGCTATGTGAGAGGTTATAGACCTACAGTCAGTGTCCAGATTTCAGTTTCCATTTAACCCATCTGAACAGTAGGCTACAGTTCCCTTGATGTGCCATAGGCCTATTTGAAGTCCCGTCTTTTGACTGTCGAATTTGTATATCGCTTCACAATCATCACACATAACATATGCTGCTATCTTCCTCTTTTACCACTTCACCAAATCTTTCCCAAACATAACTTTTCTGTCCCTCCCTTCTCTTTATTTTAAACTCTCCATTTTGCAGCTTTTCTCTTATTGAATTAAACTCAGAGATAGTCCTTTTTGCCTCTGTGGATCGACGTTAACTTTTTCTGCCAGTTCCCAAAAGCATTTGGCGACTGACGTGTAGGCTATTTGGCGCGCTTACAGTTAGGCCCTAAAGCTTAGGCATACACACTAATGCCAGATAGCCTAAAATAATGAATGAAAAACCTCAATGTAGCCTATACAAAGTAAATTGCACAAGAATGATACCTTTGAATTTTTTAAGGTGTTGTTTTCTCTTTATTCAACCTGCCTGCCACCCTTCAGCCACACAATATTTGTATGATCCTAAACCCACACACCTCGCGGATATAACCGCGGGGACTGCGGGTTATGAGTCAAAGCATCACCAGCAGGGAGACAAGCTGGGTAATGGGGTAGGGACATGGTAGGGGCTCAGCGGTCCCACCACTACCTGGAGTGTCTGAACGTGTTGGCCTGTGCAAGTGGCTGCCTTGGGCTCAGCCTGCAACTGCACCGCAGTCACTGTGCCCTGGGCCAGAGATCAGTGTCACAGACAAAACTACACCCGCACACAGCTCTCTAAAACCCTGATCCGTATGGTTTTCAGCAGTTAGCGTCATCCACGGTTGGCTGCGTGTGAACTAAAATTCTGACACTGTGTTTTAAAGTTTAAAAATGTCAATAATCATCGCTTGGGAAACGGTTTTCGAAACATGCTGATATGCCCATAATCTTTCATATCAGCGATAAATAATCTTTCAAATAAAAAATACACTTACTGTAGCAGTTTTACACAGATCCATAAACTGTGTGTGCCTCAAATTGACGAACCTCTTACACACAGGTGTTCCGAGCACGCTAGATAGCTAATAAGCACAGGTGGCCGCCTCCGTCTTCCGTCTGTATTCTGTAAAGAAGCGCTGTAACATGGAGATATAGCCACGTGGGAACACTAACCCTATAAAAGGTGTAGTAATTTAACCTTTTTTTAAATGTATTTTACTTCTTGCTGATATGTTCCTTATGTTTCCAAAACCATACTGCAAGAGATGCGTTTTAACGTTCAGAACGAGTGTTGGGGCGCTTAACAAAATCAAATCAAATCACATTTTATTGGTCACATGCGCCGAATACAACAGGTGCAGACATTACAGTGAAATGCTTACTTACAGCCCTTAACCAACAGTGCATTTATTTTTAACAAAGAAAGTAAAAATAAAACAACAAAAAAAGTGTTGAGAAAAAAAGAGCAGAAGTAAAATAAAATAACAGTAGGGAGGCTATATATACAGGGGGGTACCGGTGCAGTGTGCGGGGGCACCGGCTAGTTGAGGTAATATGTACATGTGGGTAGAGTTACATTTACATTTTTACATTTGTCATTTAGCAGACGCTCTTATCCAGAGCGACTTACAGTTAGTGAATACATATATATATATATATATATTTTTTTTTTTATACTGGCCCCACGTGGGAATCGAACCCACAACCCTGGCGTTGCAAACGCCATGCTCTATCAACTGAGCTACATCCCTGCCGGCCATTCCCTCCCCTACCCTGGACGACGCTGGGCCAATTGTGCGCCGCCCATGAGTCTCCCGGTCGCGGCCGGCTGCGACAGAGCCTGGATTCGAACCAGGATCTCTAGTAGCACAGTTAGCACTGCGATGCAGTGCCTTAGACCAATGCGCCACTCAGGAGTTGGGTGACTATGCATAAATAATTAACAGAGTAGCAGCAGCGTAAAAAGGATGGTGGGGGGGCAGTGCAAATAGTCCGGGTAGCCATGATTAGCTGTTCAGGAGTCTTATGGCTTGGGGGTAGAAGCTGTTGAGAAGTCTTTTGGACCTAGACTTGGCACTCCGGTACCGCTTGCCGTGCGGTAGCAGAGAGAACAGTCTATGACTAGGGTGGCTGGAGTCTTTGACAAAACTCCCCTGGCCAGAAGATACTATCTTCAGTAGGCGCTGAAGGTAGTTAACACACCTAGCTACTATGGCCAATGCCCAGGCACTTTTACCACACAATGAATAAAGCTACAACCTAGCCCAAACTCATGGCATTAACATTCTTACGTAGGTACATTTCTCTTAACTCCCTTCCAATACACAAACACGCCACATACATACATACATACATACATACATACATACATACATACATACATACATACATACATACATACATACATACATACATACATACATACATACATACATACATACATACATACATACATACATACATACATACATACACTTCCTTACCTGTTGGATCTGCCCAGCAGCAGACTGAACCACTATCTGTTCCCCAGTAGATGTGGTGGCGGTAGTGTACTGCTCCATGGTCACTGAACTCTGAAAGGCCTCAATTCAGTCTACTGCTACAGCTGTGAGGGGCACATAACTATATGAGATGACTATCCTAGATTGGGATTGTTAAAACATGTAAAAGTAAGATAAATGCTTACTTAAGAAGAATAATGTCAAATGATGATGAGGCATTACAGCAACAGATAAACACATTTACAGTAAGGTGGTGGGACAAATGTAACATGATGTCATATCTTATTATCAAATTATCTAACTTGAAAGGGCATATTCGTTACGACTCATAATAATCGTGCCAATCAATATTAAAATCATATTTAAGTACCATGATGATGACTGACTTCCCAAATGACTCTCTTGGACTCTCTTTCAGTTGTCAAAAAAATGTCTTGATCTGCACTGATAGGAAAATACTTGTTGACAGGAAAAAACAATACGTCTAATCATTAGGCAGGCTTTCACCTGGTCAGCTCTTTCAGATCAGTGCAGATAAAGTAGGAGGACAGAGACGCGGGCCATGGTTTGTTTGGTGGTCAAGAAATAGGCTACTCTCCTTGGCACTTGAAGACATAAATGATAAATATATGCCATATCACAATATTGTCATAGACAAATGCTAAGTTAACTAGTAGCCTGTGATCAAAGTTAAGTTACTAATGAGGGTTTTAGTCACATTTTTCAACTGAATATGTAGCAAGCCGTCAGTGGGCCAGCTAAGTAACGTTAGTTAGCTCACGAGTCACGCACCTCCTCGAATATTGTCTTATGTTTTAATGTGGCATTCTAGCTAGCTATATTATGAGACATTGCCGGTCATTGTAGTCTCTCACCCAACCAGCCATTTGTCACTGTGCCACCACACATAGCTAGTTAACGTTAGTTAGTTACCTTAGAGTTAGCTAGCCAGCTAACAATGAGCCATGTTGATTGGTGGGGTTAACGTTTAGTTACTTTTTAGCTAACTAGCTAGCTTTTAATTATTGCATTTAACTAGTGGAGTTAGTAATTTGGTTGGTCAATGACACACCAATCCCCTGCTACCGGATCACATTCCTCCTCAGCCGTGCAACCTCTCACCGTTTGTCAGCCGCCCGGTTTCTCTGATTGGCCCCAATACCGACACACAAAATCCAATCACGGCGCTCTCGACATGTAGACAAAATGGCACTTGCATGAAAAACCACCACCAACAACAAGCCTCTTCTTCTCCAAACCCCGATATATGCGCATGCGCTTTGTGTAGTATAAGGAGAGGGATGTGAAAATGAACGTTTTAGCCGAGGTTTCGGGAACTGATGGCTTTATTGAGTAGCCTACAGCACCACAGTTGTCGGGACACTGGTAATTTTTCATAAGGGAGGACAACTGTAGCATTTTTAGTGATGGGATGATTGATATCGGAGCTCGGACGCAGTTCCAAAGCACTAGGCCTACTGATCGGACGCTCGTTTCAAAGTCATTATCACGTGGCATCCAACGTTATGGTGTATTACCGCCACCTATTGTACTGGAGTGTGGGCCAGAGACAGGGAGAAACTAAATCCTAGCTGCCAGCCCCATTGCTCTTAAAAAATATAACAAAATATTTGAGACTATATCTAATGGCGTTCTACTCAATATACTATTTAAACTAATTTCCTGTGTCCCCTTCTCCCTCATACTAGATCTCATCCTCTCTTTCCCTCTGATACGGGCCCCGTGTAGCTCAGTAGGTAGAGCATGGCGTTTGCAACGCCAGGGTTGTGGGTTCGTTTCCCACGGGGGGGCAGTATGAAAAATGTATGCACTCACTAACTGTAAGTCGCTCTGGATAAGAGCGTCTGCTAAACTTGTACTTCGGTATCACGTCCGAAGTACAAGTTTCTAAACACAGAGGCGCAACATCGCGAGGCTTCCGGGAACGCTTGCGAAACAGACCAGGCCGGGGTTTGAGAAGTAAAACAATTAAAACATTCTTCCTTAGTTGTTAATTTTCTAGAAATATAAAGGCACATCCTAGAAAGGCACATTCGAGACGATTTCTTAAGTAGTTGAACATGTTATTTCTTTGATTTGACGGCATGCGCAAATCCGCGCAAGATGACCCAATGACGTGTTTCTGCGCATGAGCTTAGCTAGCCAACGTCGCCATGACATCGCCTACAAGCGTGATCAGGGATTTCTATTGGAGAAGCAGTTTTAGCCTATCGTCATACTGTACTGTCTTCGGTAATACTATTGCGCTCGAGTCTATTGCCGCGTTCATTCGGAACTAGGCAACTCCGAAATTTCCGACTTGATAACTGGTTGTAGTTATACACGTGCGGCGTTCAAATAGTTAGCAAGTCGGACATTTCTGTTTCCTAGTTCCGACTAGTACGTGAACGCAGCACAAAGCCTCCCTCCTCTCGTCCCTCCGTACATACGTCATACACTCCTTAAAGATTTCCGGTCCATAGTGTGACATATGGGGGTTGTTCAGTTATGAAAAGACAGGTGGAAGATCATATCAGCTCCACCTTACCTGACACCCTAGACCAGCCTTCTCAAATAGTGGGGCGCGCCCCCCTGTGACCCCGGGGAACATGCTTTTTTTTGCAGCAGGGAGTAGGGTTTTTTTGCACCGAACAAGAGCACACAGAACAGAGCAGGAGATATGAAGTGCAGATAACAAACCCTTAAGAGACCCCATGGAAAGATATTTAAGTGGCGCAGTGGTCTAAGGTCGCAGTGGTCTGTGCCACTATCCTGGTTCGAATCCAGGCTCTGTCGTAGCCGGCCGCGACCGGGAGACCCATGGGGCGGCGCGCAATTGGCCCAGCGTCGTCCAGGGTAGGGGAGGGAATGGCCGGCAGGGATGTAGCTCAGTTGATAGAGCATGGCGTTTGCAACGCCAGGGTTGTGGGTTCGATTCCCACAGGGGGTATGAAAAAATAAATAATGTATGCACTAACTAACTGTAAGTCGCTCTGGATAAGAGCATCTGCTAAATGACTAAAATGTAAATGAAAAGAAAGGCGGAGAGAGACGGAGATGAGACAAACGTAAGTCTCCCGAAAGCTAAGACAAGGAAATATGACTAAGCGTATGTAGCGCTTGGCTTCACTGCGACTACGGTGGGAGACGAGGAAAGACCGGTATGTTTACAAATGTTGGCAGCGGACAGCATGAAGCCAAATAAATTAAGGCGTCACTTAAAGACATTACACCCCAATCACGCTAATACACCCCAATCACCAGACCACTAAAAACAAGAGTCTTCTCTGCTATCTGTGAGGAGATGGGAGCTGAACATCAAGCTGTGCTGTTTCACAGTGAAGCAAGGTGGCTGTGACGAGGAAAAGTCTTGTCCCGAGTTTTTGAGCTCAGAGAGCAGATAATAATGTTTTCGGAGCAGGAGCACAAGTATGACCTCGCAGAAAAAGTTAGTGATGAGAACTTCCTGGCAAAACTGGCCTACCTGAGTGACATATTTGGAAAGCTAAATGAACTAAATCTACAGCTTCAAGGGAAAGATAAACACCTCAGGTCACAGACAAGATCAGCTCTTTCACTCGAACGCTTGCAATGTGGGACAGGCGACTTGATGAAGGAAATACTGATTCATTCGAGAACCTGCATGAATTTGTTGACACTACTGACTATGATGCCACCTCAGTGATTCCATATATTAAGGAGCATATTTCATCACTGATGGGATTCTTTAAAAAGTACTTCCCTGAAAACAGTTCCCAATATGACTGGGTGAGAGATCCTTTCAATGCACCAGCTCCAACTGGTTTCAGCTCTGCAGAGGAGGACCAGTTCATTGATATGACGTCTGACTATACATTGAGACTGAGGTTCACATCACAGACACTGAGTGAATTCTGGCTGAGTGTAGAGAGGCAGTATCCACTCTTAGGGCAGAGGGCCATGGGCATTCTTCTTCCTTTTGCAACATCTTATCTTTGTGAGACTGGCTTCTCTGCTGTTGCTGCACTGAAGACCAAGTACAGGTCCCAGCTAAACATTGAGCAGGAGCTGAGAGTTGCAGTATCATGCTTGGCCCCGTGTAGCTCAGTTGGTAGGACTCAAACCAGGATCTCTAGTGGCACAGCTAGCACTGCGATGCAGTGCCTTAGACCACTGCGCCACTCGGGAGTATACCTATGTAAGAATGCTGTTCATTCACTATAGCTCAGCATTCAACAACATAGTACCCTCCAAACTCATCTTTAAGCTCGGGCCCTGGGTCTTAACCCGCCCTGTGCAACTGGTCAGTACAGGTGCATCAAAGCTGGGACCGAGAGACTGAGAAACAGCTTCTATCTCAAGGCCATCAGATTGTTAAATAGCCATCACTAGCCGGCTACCACCCGGTTACTCAACCCTGTATCTTAGAGGCCTTAGAGGCTGCTGCCCTATGTACATAGACATGGAATCACTGGTCACTTTAATAATGTTTACATACTGCTTTACTAATTCATTTGTAAATACTGTATTCTACTGTATTTTAGTCAATGCCACCCCGACATTGCTCATCCTAATATTTATATATTTCTTAATTCCGATTTTTACTTTTAGATTTGTGTGTATTGTTGTGAATTGTTAGTTACTACTGCACTGTTGGAGCTAGGAACACAAGCATTTCACTACACCCGCAATAACATCTGCTAAATATGTGTATGTGACCAATAAAATGTGATTTGATTTTGATCTAGAAGAGCAGGTATTCCAGGGCAGATCGGGATGCAGGTTGGGCGTGATGTATATACTCCTGAGTGGTGCAGTGGTCTAAGGCACTGCATCGCAGTGCTAGCTGTGCCACTAGAGATCCTGGTTCGAATCCAGGCTCTGTCGTAGCCGGCCGTGACCGGGAGACCCATGGGGCGGCGCACAATTGGCCCAGCGTCGTCCAGGGTAGGGGAGGGAATGGCCGGCAGGGATGTAGCTCAGTTGGTAGAGCATGGTGTTTGTAACGCCAGGGTTGTGGGTTCGATTCCCACGGGGGGCCAGTATGAAAAAAATAAAATAATAATGTATGCACTCACTAACTGTAAGTCGCTCTGGATAAGAGCGTCTGCTAAATGACTGAAATGTAAATGTAGGGAGCAGAATGGGAGAGAGAACAAGAATGGTAGTAGACATGAGGAAGGTTGTTACATTTGTGACAGCAGCAATCAGTTTCACAGAAAAATTACAATCGAAGACTAAGAAGATACAGATCATAGTGGTGCAGGCAGTGAGGTATCTTGGGATCACAGGACTGACATGGGAAAATGTACAGGATGACCTCAATAAGATTGAGAATCATTCCAGCCAGGAATCATGTATTGGTTAATTTTCATAATGGTGTTAATCCTTCAATGGAATTCCAGAAGTTTGATGACTAATGGGCAAGAGTTCAAACAGTTTATTGAGGAGTTACCAGCCAAACCTGATGTGATATGTCTCTAGAGATAGGGTAGCAGGGGGAGGAGGAGGGTGTGCTACCTTTATAAAACGGGGGATCCCATATAGGTGTGTGGGAGAGGGAGTTGAACAGGAGTATGTAGTGGTAGAGGTGTGGTTGAGAGGGGGTGGGACTATGGTAATAGTGAACTATTACAACCCGTGTAAGAGAGTAGAGTTGGGAATGTAAAAGAGACTACCCTTGGGAATGTAGAAGGTCAAGATAGGAGAAGGGTAATGTGTGGGGATTTTAATGCACATAGTACGCTCTGGGGAGGGTTACGGACTGATGTAAATGGACAAGTGTTGGAGTAACTATTGGATGAGAAAGGGCTTGTGAGTCTTAATGACGACCGAGGAACCATGATTGACCCAGTAACTGGAAATTAATCTGCTCTGGATCTTACTTTGATCTCAAGTTCAATGGCTGTCAGATGTAGTTGGGAGGTTTTGGAGGAATCTACAGGGGGTAGTGATCACTATCCTATCATGTGTACTGTAGGATTGAGGGTGGAAGATTCAGTAGGAAATTGATTGAGGAGATGGATATTTGGGAAAGCGGAGTGGGGTCAGTTTCAGGAGTTGAGTGAACAGGAGCTGTCTCAGGTTGATCTTAATTCAGATATAGAAACAGTGAATGATGGAGTAAGAGGAGCAATAGTAGGGGCCACAAGGCAGGTGATTCCTATGGGTACAGGGGGGAGAAAGGGTAACGCAGTTCCCTGGTGGACTGAAGAGTGTAGAGAAGCAGTGAAGTGTAGGAACAGGGCTTTCAGAATGTTTACAAGGTCCAATAATTACCAGCACTTGATTCAGTATAAACAAGCACAAGCAGTAGTAAGGAGGATCATTAGGACAGCTAAGAGGGAGTATTGCCGCCGGTTCTGTGGAAACATAGGCAGGACCACTCCTGTGGGAGAGGTATGGGGGATTAAGAGAATGAGTGGGGTCAGACGAGATTGGGATCTCCCTGTGCTGAAAAGTGAGGAGATTGTTTCAGTGAGCGAGATGGTGAAGGCAGAGATGTTATCCCAGGCATTTGTGAAGGTGCACAGCTCAAATAATCTGACAGAAGAGGGTCAGCATGGGAGAGAGAGGGTCAGAGGAGAACATACGGGGGTGCTGGATCAGAGAGAGATGGTGGGGGATACATTGACTGGCCCTTTTACGTTGGCTGAGATGAAGAGAGCATTAGCTAAAGCTGGGGTAACATCTCCTGGGAAGGATGAGATGTGTTACATCATGATGGCTCATCTCAGTGACACTGCGATGGGGAAAGTATTGGACCTTTACAATAAGGTGTGGCAGGAAGGGGAACTGCCTGGAAGTTGGAAGCAGGCTGTAGTTGTGCCTACTTATCAAGCTGGATAACATGGGGGTGGGGAGCTCTATGTCAAAAAGGTATGAGGTAGATAATGGTACCCCCCAGGGAAGTGTCATTAGTCCTTTGTTGTTCTCCATTATGATTGACAATGTATTCTCCCAGGTGAGACCTGATATTGGGAGTACATTTTTTGTGGATGATGGATGGGGCATTCTGGAAGAGAGGGAGAAATATTACCCATACAGCCAGAAGAGTTCAAGAAGCGATTAGTGAAGTTGAGCAGTGGTCCCTCAGGTGGGGCTTCAAGTTTTCAGTTGAGAAAACACAGACTGTGTTTTTTTCTAAAAGGAAGGTTGGGGAGGAAATATACTTGAAGTTGTATGGCAGGAATCTGGAGAGGGTGGGAGGGTTTAGGTTCCTGGGGGGCTGGTTTGACACTCAAATAATATTGGGGGCGCATATTAACAGAGTAGTTGTCAAAGGAAAGAAAATATTTAATGTGATGCGTTGCTTGTCAGGAATGGAGTGGGGGGCTGATAGAATGGCGTTGAAAATGCTATATATAGCACTGTTAAGGTCATCACTGGATTATGGAATTGTAGCATATGGATCAGCAACTCAGACATCTTTAAAAAAGCTAGATGTAATCCAGTCCCAAGCCCTAAGAATATGTTGTGGAGCACTCAGGACCTCCCCGGTGGCAGCGATGCAGGTAGAGTTGGGAGAAATGCCGTTAAAGTTAAGAAGAGAACAGCTAGCCATGACATATTGGGTAAATCTACAAGGACATAAGGTTACACATCCTACAAAAGAGTTGCTCCTAGAGCGCTGGGAACATGAATGAAATCTGAATACAAGCATTGGGTGGATAGGCAATGGCATGGCGAGAGAGATGGGACTGTTTGGGAGGGAGTTTAGCCCCTCTGTGGTTCTTCCTGCTATCCCACCTGAGTTAATCCCTCAGCCAGTGATATATCTAGGGTTGCTTGAGAGGGTAAGATATGTTAAGGAAGGAGTAGATTCAGTTGTAAGTGAACATTTAAGAACACAGTACTGTGCTTTCTTGAATATATTCACAGATGGATCTAAGGACCCTAAAACAGTGAGGACAGGTGCAGCTTTTAGTGTTCCTGAGTTTAAGGTGGCAGTGACAAAAAGATCAGCAGATCTTTTATCTGTTTACACAATGGTGTTGTTGGCCATACTATTGGCTGCAGGGTGGGTGGGGGAGGTGTGGCCAGACAGAGTAGTCATCTGCTCTGACTCCTGTGCAGCACTGATGAGCTTAAATTAATTTGTGTCTCGGAGCAGACAGGATGTATTGTATGAGGTTTTGTATAGGGTGGAACAGATGTGGTTATTTGTAATGTTCCTCTGGGTACCAGCTCATGTGGGAGTAGAGGGGAATGAGGAGGTGGATGTTATCGCTAAGCAGGCTGTTAAACATCCTAATGTTGAGATGGAATTGTCAATCAGTAAAGCAGAAGCCAAGGGGTTAATAAGAACAGTGGTTAAAAACAAATGGCAAGAGTTGTGGAACAGGGAGAGAAAGGGAAGACACCTGAATAAGATCCAGGAAAAGGTTGGGGCTGGGAGGTCCTCAGGTCAAGAGAGAAGGGAGGAAAGTGTAGTCACAAGGATGAGACTGGGACACACAAGGCTCAACAGTACATTGGTGGGGAAACATCCGACTGGGAGGTGTGATCATTGTCAGGAGATGGAGACAGCGGAAGATGTTCTATTTCAGTGCCAGAAATATGGGAGGGAAAGGGAGTGATTGTTGTTAGATTTGAAGAGTAATGGGGTTGAAGAGCCAGAATTAAGTGAACTGCTGGGTAAATCTTCAGGGGATTTAGTATTTAATTATGTATTTGGTTTCCTTAGGGAGACGAGAATGTTTGGTAGGATTTAGGCCACTGTCTCTGGTCCACACTCCAGTCCAGTAGGTGGCGGTAATGCACCTTAAAGTTGGTTCCCAACCGCCATAAAAAACCCACAGAAGAAGCTTTCCGGTCTCCATTTTATTATAGCTAGCAGCTCATGTCGCAGCTACAGACAGGCGTTTCGACGAAAGACTGCAAACGGATCGAATATTAGTGTTGGTTTTACAATACGGTAAATAACACGTACCTAAATAATGCAAAGTGTGATATGTATTTCATTTTTTCAATTCATGTTAATTTTATATTTACTGGCTTTTGCTCTTGTATTTATACTAGCTAGCTAACGTTAGCTGGCCCACGGAAGAGTTAGCTTGCTAGTAACGTTAGCCATTTTCAATATTTTCGCAGTTAGTTAGTGAAGTTAGTTGAAATGGCTAAACCAACTGTACCGCATCATGTAATTGTATTGACAAATGTTTAAGTGAATTTGCAACTATATTCTATGGCCTCACTATATTCCATGGCATGTAAAAAAAAAAAGAAAAGTGAACTAGTAGGGAGGGAGCAAGCAATTGTCGTGAGGGTTTTATCTCGGCAAGGCCCCAGCCGGGCCTGCCATTTTGCATAACTACACACGGACAACTAGTTAGTAACCTTAGTGAACAAAGCAAAGGGGGTGTGGGCGATGTTGACCAACGTTGGATCAGAAGACAAGCTTGTTCTACCCTACTTATTACTTAATTTCTGTTATCGCAGTAATGGCCGAACCTGTTATTCGTGCACGGAAATTATATATTAGAAGAATTACCGCAATGCATTTCCATGTGCTATGCATTTCCACACCACTTGCTTTATGCCCTGTATTCATTTCTGGCACATTGTCGGCTACACCAAATTCGGCTACAATGACGCAAAACATCTGATTGCGTGTTATAAACACAACTGGCTGTTTGAATGTGGTTTTGTAAATTGAATGTCGAGGGAAATTTGTAAATCTGCGTGTTATGAACATAGACTATAGTAAAGTCCTACTTGAATATACATTTGTGTGGAAAATGTGTACTACGTGAAAATCTAAATGGACAATTCTTCTTTCAGTTTCTCATTCACGTTTGAGGAGTATCAATTTTTGTTTTGAAAATTGAGACCTGTTGAAATGGCAGGTAATTACAAAAGTTTTCGTTACTTGCATGCCAATACACTTGACAGATGGACTGTTTGACACAATAATTGCAAATAATTAGAGGTGTGTGTGTGTGTTCCAGAACTGCTTGATGTAGCTTTTCTGGTTCATTTTGTAAATTGGCCAATCGGCTGCCTTTTGAAGCATGATTCCTAGAAAGCAAAACTAGTCAGATACTGTGAACCAACTCCAATACCAAAGAGTGAGTGGAACCTGTTTTAATTCTATACCTTCTGCTTAATATTTTTACAGATCCAGCCATGCACCGAGATTGCCCTCTCGACTGCAAGGTCTATGTGGGAAACCTGGGGAATAATGGCAACAAGACAGAGCTGGAGAGGTCCTTTGGCTATTATGGACCACTTCGCAGTGTCTGGGTAGCAAGGAACCCCCCAGGCTTTGCTTTTGTGGAATTTGAAGATCCAAGGGACGCAACAGACGCAGTGAGGGAGCTTGATGGAAGGTAAAGCCTAAGAAGTTTGTCTGGTATAAAAAATAATAACTGAATGATAGAATCAGGAAATTGAGGACTGTTGAAATGAGAGATAATCACTAAAGTTTTCGTTCCTTGCATGCCAATACACTTGACAGATTGACTGTTTGACACAAGAAATTAGAGGTGTTCCAGAACTGTTTGAAGTAGCTTTTCTGGTTTTTCTATATGAATGCCAAGTTATCTCCATATGCTTTTCACTTTATAAAATAACTTTGACAGAGCCTAGTTTGCTTGGAGATCCTTGTTTCCAAGCAAGGCACTTAATCTGATATTTGGAAGGACTACCTATTAATTTAAGTTGCCACGTGCCTCCATTTAACTACCCGATAGTTGGCGAAACAAGTCCATGCATGCCATAATGTTTTGGTGACTGTTTAACCATATGCCCTGCGGTAACATCCTTATTGATCTGCACAGGACACTAAGTGGTTCTCGTGTGCGAGTGGAGCTGTCCAATGGTGAGAAACGCACCCGCAACCGAGGTCCTCCTCCCTCATGGAGCAGACGTCCTCGAGATGAGCATCGCGGGCGTCGTGGTAGCCCGCCCGCCAGGCGCAGGTAACCCATCTACCGTACAGGGCTTTATGATAGCAATACCCAACAGACTACTAATCCCTTTCTGCCCCTTTTCCTAGTTAAACTAACGTTTTATTCCTGTGTCTTCTTTCCAAACTGCGTCTCCTGTTTCTCTGCAACATGTTGATAGTTTAGCTCTGACTGTTTGAGAACCCTTGTTTCCATGGTAATCTACAGTGGTTACTGATGTGGTGCTGAAAACGTGCTGTTTTCATCATTATCGTTGTTGTTCAATTTAACGAGTTCCAGGGTATTTTAGATCCAGGGGGTGGGTACAGTGTGAAATGAAGTGTGCTGCTTTGTATGCCAAGTTAGGTACATTGGCATTTACTGCTGCCACATTTTCAAAAAATTTGGATTGCAAGCTTTACACTTTCCTGACGCACTGAATGTGTTTTGGAAGTGTACTATACCGTGTGCACTTGCAAGATTATTTTAATATTTGGCAAAGTGTAAAAATCGCAGCTAGCTTTTTAAGTAGGTGATTCGTATTGCAAAGCATTACCTATCTATGAACCGGGTGGGAGGGAAGCTTAATGATGCTAGATTGGTTGTTTTTGTTACAAATTGAGGTTGCTTTTTTATTTACCATTTATATTAATAAAAATGAACCCCCGTTACAGAGTCATCACCATGCCTCTTCTCACCACCCTCTGAGTCAGTCAACTAGTCCTCTTTCAGCATCATGTGACCTCTGACCAGCGTGCCCCAATCAGCTTGGCTGGTGTCGTGTCACATGACCCAGGCATGGCCAGTCGTCAGGTTGCACCAGCCCATTGGTTCCTGCGCATGCAGTTCTCAGCCTCCTCCTCCAACCTTAACCCAATCGGCAGCGGCCCACCTCCCATTCCCGACCAATCAGCGTTTTACGTCCCCAAATGTCTACACTACAACCTACCAGCAGCAGCCTTCGGCTAACCAATAAAAGCAGGAAAAATCCACAGCCAGCCCCCATCCGCCAGCCAACTAATCACCTCGCAGCATCTGGCCAGTCCTTTTCAGCCAAATCTGCCTACCCGGCCGACAGTCTGCCACCCCTTCGTCATTTCTAGCTTGTTGAAAACCAAAAGACTAGTAAGTTTTTCCTGCTTCATACAGTACACTGCTGATTACAAATTTAAAAATGAAGAGAAAGCTGCCTTAAAAAAAGGTTATCCTTTTTTATTTGAATCAAACGTGGTTTGTATTTCACACTAATTACTGTAATCCGTTGATTTAAAGGGGAGTGGCTCTACATCCAGTGAGTCTAGGACCCTGACATTTTGAGAAATGTGAATTATTAATTTGTGACTTTCTAAATGTTCAAAGGAGCTATTCTGATCAGTGCTTCCCCTTCCAAAGGGTAGGTCCCTCCCTGGTTTAGGTCACAGTGGTCCCATCTTTTGTGTGCTTTGCGGTTGTGCTCAATATGTAACCTTGATTTTACTGCAGCATTGAGTCCCCGTACCCAATGTTTTACCATTAGTTATGTTACAACCCTCCATTTCCTTACCTCTTCCCATTTGGTATAATTGCACTTCTTTCCCAAGCACTTTTTGCCATTCACTCAGCTGGCAGTATTAACTAACCCATTACCTTTTTATGGGAGGTGATGACTGAATTTTGGATTACAAATGCCTTATCAGCAGTCACCCATTCTCATCCCTTAGGAGGGGTGTAGACAATAACTTTGTGCTCACTGAGGGGCAGTTTTCAGTGGGGACTGTAGGGTTTACTTCAGGGGAGTACAGGTAATTGGGGGTCGGATGGGTTTGGTATCAATGGGTCACCAATGTATTGCGCTCTGCTTTTGACACCCTCTCACCACCACCCCCACCCCCCGCAGATCCCCACGTAGGAGGAGCTTCAGCCGCAGCCGAAGCAGGTATGTTGACAACCATAAGCGTAATAGTAAAAGTTAACAGCCATACTGTGGGCAAGTAAGATCAAAACAGATGATTGGTCATAGAAGCGTGGACTAAAGGACCATATTTTGAATCATACTTACAGTACCAGTCAAAAGTTTGGACACCTACTCATTCATTGGTTTTTCTTTATTTTTACTATTTTCTACATTGTAGAATAATAGTGAAGACAGCAAAACTATGAAATAACACATATGGAATCATGTAGTAACCAAAAAAGTGTTAAACAAATCAAAATATATTTTATATTTAAGATTCTTCAAATAGTCACCCTTTGCCTTGATGACAGCATTGCACACTCTGGGCGTTCTCTCAACCAGCTTCACCTGGAATGCTTTTCTACAGTCTTGAAGGAGTTCCCACATATGCTGCGCACTTGTTGGCTGCTTTTCCTTCACTCTGCGGTCCAAACCATCTCAATTGGGTTGAGGTTGGGTGATTTGTGGAGGCCAGGTCATCTGATGCAGCACTCCATCACTGTCCTTCTTGGTAAAATAGCCTTTACACAGCCTGGAGGTGTGTTGGACCATCTGGTTTGCGCTTCGTGCGGTCCCACTAAGCGCAAACCAGATGGGATGGCCTGTCGCTGCAGAATGGTGTGGTAGCCATGCTGGTTGTGTGGGAACCACACATGCAGACATCATCCGTTCACCTACTCTGTGCCTCACAAAGACACGGTGATTGGAACCAAAAATCTCATGTGGATTTATCAGACAGGACAGATTTCCACCAGTTTAATGTCCATTGTTTGTGTTTCTTGGCCCAAGGAAGTCTCTTCTTCTTATTGGTGTCCTTTTTTAGTGGTTTCTTTGCAGCAATTTGACAATGAAGGCCTGATTCACGCAGTGTCCTCTGAACAGTTGATGTTGAGATGTCTGTTACTTTTATTTGTACTGCAATCTGAGGTGCAGTTTACTCTAATGAAATTGTCCTCTGCAGCAGAGGTAACTGGGTCTTCCATTCGTGTGCTGGTCCTCATGAGAGCCAGTTTGCGCTTGATGGTATACAGACGATAGCCCTATTTGGTAAAAGACCTTCATGTCTTAAAGTAATGCTGGACTGTCTTTCTCTTTGCTTATTTGAGCTGTTCTTGCCATAATATGGACTTGGTCTTTTACCAAATAGGGCTATCGTCTGTATACCAGCCCTACCTTGTCACAACACAACTGATTGGCTCAAACGCATTAAAAATAAATTCCACAAATTAACTTTTAAGAAGGCACACCTGTTAAATGAAATGCATTCCAAGTGACTACCTCATGAAGCTGTTTGAGAGAATGCAAAGCTGTCATCAAGGCAAAGGGTGGCTACTTTGAAGAATCTCAAATATGAAATATATTAACACTTTTGGTTACTACATGATTCCATATGTGTTATATCATAGTTTTGATGTCTTCTCTATTATTGACTGGGACTAATATATATGTGTATGTATGTACAGTGGGGAGAACAAGTATTTGATACACTGCTGATTTTGCAGGTTTTCCTACTTACAAAGCATGTAGATGTCTGTAATTTTTATCATCGGTACACTTCAACTGTGAGAGATGGAATTTAAAACAAAAATCCAGAAAATCACATTGTATGACTTAAGTAATTAATTTGCATTTTATTGCATGACATAAGTATTTGATACATCAGAAAAGCAGAACTTAATATTTGGTACAGAAACCTTTGTTTGCAATTAGAGATCATACGTTTCCTGTAGGTCTTGACCATGTTTGCACACACTGCAGCAGGGATTTTGGCCCACTCCTCCATACAGACCTTCTCCAGATCCTTCAGGTTTCGGGGCTGTCGCTGGGCAATACGGGCTTTCAGCTCCCTCCAAAGATTTTGTATTGGGTTCAGGTCTGGAGACTGGATAGGCCACTCCAGGACCTTGAGATGCTTTTTACGGAGCCACTCCTTAGTTGCCCTGGCTGTGTGTTTCGGGTTGTTGTCATGCTGGAAGACCCAGCCACGACCCATCTGCAATGCTCTTACTGAGGGAAGGAGGTTGTTGGCCAAGATCTCGCGATACATGGCCCCATCCATCCTCCCCTCAATACGGTGCAGTCGTCCTGTCCCCTTTGCAGAAAAGCATCCCCAAAGAATGTTTCCACCTCCATGCTTCACGGTTGGGATGGTGTTCTTGGGGTTGTACTCATCCTTCTTCTTCCTCCAAACATGACGAGTGGAGTTTAGACCAAAAAGCTATATTTTTGTCTCATCAGACCACATTACCTTCTCCCATTCCTCCTCTGGATCATCCAGATGGTCATTGGCAAACTTCAGACGGGCCTGGACATGCGCTGGCTTGAGCAGGGGGACCTTGCGTGCGCTGCAGGATTTTAATCTTTGAGACTGTGGTCCCAGTTCTCTTCAGGTCATTGACCAGGTCCTGCCGTGTAGTTCTGGGCTGATCCCTCACCTTCCTCATGATCATTGATGCCCCACAAGGTGAGATATTGCATGGAGCCCCAGACCGAGGGTGATTGACCGTCATCTTGAACTTCTTCCATTTTCTAATAATTGCGCCAACAGTTGTTGCCTTCTCACCAAGCTGCTTGCCTATTGTCCTGTAGCCCATCCCAGCCTTGTGCAGGTCTACAATTTTATCCCTGATGTCCTTACACAGCTCTCTGGTCGTCTTGGCCATTGTGGAGAGGTTGGAGTCTGTTTGATTGTGTGGACAGGTGTCTTTTATACAGGTAACGAGTTCAAACAGGTGCAGTTAATACAGGTAATGAGTGGAGAACAGGAGGGCTTCTTAAAGAAAAACTAACAGGTCTGTGAGAGCCGGAATTCTTATTGGTTGGTAAGTGATCAAATACGTATGTCATGCAATAAAATGCAAATGAATTACTTAAAAATCATATGTGATTTTCTGGATTTTTGTTTTAGATTCCGTCTCTCACAGTTGAAGTGTACCTATGATAAAAATTACAGACCTCTACATGCTTTGTAAGTAGGAAACACTGCCGATTTTGCAGGTTATCAAATACTTGTTCTCCCCACTGTATACATGTATGACAAGTATTTGTTCTCTTAACACACCCTCTGTCAGTTAGCACAGCTTTCCAAACTTCTCAATGATGACATCCTCTTGTCAACAGAGGCCTTAGTAAGATGCAGGTTGCTTTGGTTAATTATGTGGTTCCTTCTGTATTCAGGTCTCTCTCCAGAGACAGGAAGAGGGAGAGATCTCTGTCCCGGGACAGGAACCATAAACCCTCAAGATCATTCTCTCGATCAAGGAGGTAAGCAGGAGGGGTTTTAACAGAAAGAGCAAAGATCTTATATCTTGTCTTAACAATGAAACCGCTTTACTTGTTTGTATGTAATGGTAACAGACCATGGCTGTAACATTGTTCCGAGAGTGCATGAATGCTCCAGATAAAGTTTGTATTAACATTCTGGCTTAACTGTTTTCCCCCTTCTCACAGCCGCTCCAGATCTACTGAGAGAAAGTAAGAAGATTCACTGCAATCGGGTTTGAAGGCAAATAAGATGGATGAACGAACGGGCGTCCCTCTAGCGAGTCGTTTCATGTGATGGACTTTAAAATCCCCTCTGGTCATTTTTTGTCTTTTTTTTTTTTTTTTTAACAATCAAATATGTTAACGGTTTAGTGTTTGCTTCTTTGTGACATGCTAGGTATCCATTTCCTCTGTATTTTGTAAATAAGTGGGTATGCAGTTGTAATGCGTTACTGAAAGGGCTGAACTCGAGAACCAACTTCTTATTGAAAATAGCATATGACATTGATGTTAGTCAAACTTTTATTCCAGTGCCAAAATTGACAAAAATGCAAGTAGGTACATTTTGGTGATAGTGGTACATTTTGGTGATAGTCAGTATCGTCCAAAACAGACTTGTGAGATTTGTGTACATGAGTTCGGCATGACTTGAGTGTTGAGTCTCTGTATGTCTATAAAAGTACCAGGTCAAGGAAATGCCCTTTTTTTTTTTAAAATAGTCTAGTGCTCACGTCATGTTCCCATGACGGCAAGATTTGTGTCTGGAGGTGGTGGAAGGCTATGGTCACCTATTCTATGTTGAGATATATATATATATATATATGAATCTAATTGATCTATAGGATTTTTGCTGTTCTGTCAGTTCCTGTTGGTAAAGATTTGGCAATGGGAATAATGACACCCTTATTCAGGATATTGGAATCTATTTGATGAGAAAATAGTAGTAATGAATACAATTATCTCAATTTTGACTTTACAATATTCCACTTTCTTTTCCTTTCTTCGTACTATTTGTAATGTTCTCAGAATTAAAAACTGGTTGTAGAAAAGTATTGTTAACATTTATTTTGTGGAAAAAGCACTTCACTGATTAAAATAAAAATGGTTCACTGACTTCAAAGGTGGGCTCGCTTTGGATGTGGAATCATCGATATGACACTGTATAATAGGGTGGGCGTTAAAGAGATTCTCTGAGGCAGGGCTGCGCCTGAAGCGTAGCAAGTGCACATTCCAAGCACAGAGTGTGACATACCTAGGTCACAAGATCACAGCGCAGGGTCTGTGTCCTGTGGAGGACAAAGTCAGGGCAATCAAGGAAGCTCCAAACCCCAAGAATGTGTCCGAACTCAGGTCATTCCTGGGCATGGTGAACTACTATGGTAAGTTCTTCCCGGAGCTGTCAACAGTGTTGGCTCCACTTTATCAGCTGCTCCACAAAGACTGTAAATGGAAGTGGGGGCCAGCACAAGAGAAAGCTTTCAAGGAAGTGAAAGCACTACTACAATCAGCACAACTGCTGGTTCATTTTGACCAAGACAAAGAGATCATCCTGTCATGTGACGCCTCGCCCTATGGCGTTTGGGCAGTACTCTCTCATCAGATGGAGGACGGGTCAGAGAAACCCATTGGATTCGCATCACGCACGCTGACAAGTGCTGAGAAGGGTTATTCACAGTTAGACAAGGATGGTCTGGCTATAGTCTTTGCTGTGAAACGCTTCCATCAGTACCACTATGGTCGTCATTTCATGCACTGACCACAAAACACTGATGATCCTTTTCAGTGAATCAAGATGCATTCCTCCCATGGCTTCAGCAAGGATACAGCGCTGGGCCCTCACACTGTCAGCTTACCAGTACACTATTGTGTATAGAGAGGGGAAGGACAATGCAAACGCAGACGCACTCAGCCGTCTCCCACTACCAGAGATGCCCGCCACAACTGTGGTGCCTCCCGAGACAATTTTCCTAATGGAGAGATTGTCAAACTCACCTGTGAATATCAAACAGTGGATAGTCCGGGATCCTATCCTGTCCCAAGTGAAAAGATTCCTTATGCAGGGTTGGCCTGTCATAGAGGATGATGGACTAAGACCTTATGCAAAGCGCAAAACTGAGCTGAGTGTGCAGGATTGCTGCATACTCTGGGGGTCCAGAGTGGTTGTTCCACCCCCTGGCCGTGCACAAGTCATGGATGAGGTCCATGAGGCTCACCCGGGTGCCTCCCGGATGAAACATTTAGCCAGATCTTACATCTGGTGGCCTAACATGGATCAGGACGTAGAAAACAAAATGAAATCATGTTCTGAGTGCCAGAGAAACCAGAAGATGGCGCCGCCCCGCGCCACTACATCTGTGGGAGTGGCCTGACCGCCCATGGTCCAGGCTGCACATAGACTTTGCAGGCCCTTTCGTGGGTCACATGTTCCTTGTCATGGTGGACGCGCACTCCAAGTGGCTGGAGGCTCACATCATGAGCAACATCACAGCGACCACAACCATCGAAAATCTTTGGCAGGTGTTTGCAACCCATGGTCTGCCTGACTCTCTTGTGTCCGACAACGCAACAACCTTTACCTATGACTTGTTCCAAGAATTCATGTAGAGAAACGGGATTCGCCTTATCCGCAGCATTCCGTTTCACCCGGCCTCAAACGGCTTAGCGGAGCGGGCTGTGCAGACACTGAAAGAGGGGCTCAAAAGGATGACTGGGGGTACCATCACAACTAAGCTCTCTCGGTTTTTGTTCCAGTACCGCATCACGCCACAAACCACAACAGGACAGGCTCCAGCTGAGATGTTGATGGGCAGAAAGCCAAAATCTCACCTGGATCTACTGCGTCCGGACATCAAAGCACGAGTGGAACGGAAGCAGGAGAAACAAAAAGAGAGACATGACCACCACGCGAGGGAGAGACAGTTAAAACCCAATGACACTGTCTACATCCGCAACTTCAAAGGCAGCCAACGCTGGTTGCCAGGTATCATTCTGAGTCAGAGTGGTCCTGTCTCCTTTGTGGTCAAACTGACTGATGGTCGAGTCATGCGCAGACACCAGGACCACCTCCGCCTGCGCTATGACAAAGACAAGACCATGTTTTCAGATGGAACAGCTGTGGGTGGTACTATACAAGTTGAAACCCCACAGGAAACAGTATCTGAGGAACAGGTGTATTCAGTGGTTCCAGCAGAGGGTGATGGACATTCTCTCACAAACACCCAACCCGCTCCTGTGCCCTCAGACCCAGCTCCACTGGGACACGCATTACCTGTGTCTCGTGGCACACCAGGAGTACTGCGCAGATAATAATAATAATATGCCATTTAGCAGACGCTTTTATCCAAAGCGACTTACAGTCATGCGTGCATACATTTTTTTTTTGTGTATGGGTGGTCCCGGGGATCGAACCAGCAGAGCTACAGAGGACCACAGCGTAGTTACAAGCCTCCTGAAAGACTAACTCTGTAGTTGAGACAGAGACTTGTGGCGTTAGAGTTTGTTTGGAGCAGCAGACCTAGTTGAAAAGAAATAAGGACAGTCTTTTATTTTTATTTTTACGGTTACAGTAACACCAGCAGAAGTTCTACAGTGTTGTGAAGTAAAGAAAATAAAACATTGATTTACTTGTTAACCTTGTGTTTTCCTTACAAGGGGGATTTAAATTGAGGGGGGAGAAGTGTTATAGTGTGGACACTATATAAATAACTACATTGAATATGTGTTGTACTTACCTGCAGTATAGTATGATTACTATTCATGTGTGGAGGGTTATTATTGGCATTGACCGTGACCTTTCCCCTTTGTTGATGTCATCACCCAGAGTAGGATCTGTACAATGTGACTCTACCTCATGATGTTGTGGGCTGTATCGTTTTGATGTATTTGTACCATTTGTACATAGCTGTATACCTTTTATTTCTTAAGTTGAAAGTAAAGGAAAGTAATATTGAAATTCGTGTGGGCATTCCACCTTCCTGTTCAAGTGAGTACAGCACAACAAGGTGAGTCCAAAAATGTATTGTATTCTGCTGCATAAATGATGTAATATGCCAGGGAGATATGTATACTGCAGCTAATAAAGTAATACTAAGTGAATGTTGTGTAGTAAGCTGTTAGTAGCCCATGTGCCTCACCCTAATAATTTGGTCCCGTTTCCCCTCCTAATTTCGGCTACTGTTCTGACTTGGTGGTGCACATGTAGCCTATAGCCTGTTTTAGATAAATGTAATCATCGAATATTGTAAGAGCTTTCATTGTCTGCTTATATGCCCCCTTGATTTATCCTACGGTTCTGACTTGGTGTACAGGGGGAATACTGTAAGAACGGCCCATGTTCTGAATTCTGTCGCTGTACATTTCAAAAGTGCTGAACAACGTCCGTCCTAGCTCGCTCATTGTCTTAATCGAAATTACGGATTGCCTCTTATCCGCTCGTCGTCTCCTTATGCCATAGTTTGTACATCTCAATTGTCAGTAGAAAACACATTTGTTTAAGTAAGTCAGCCATATCAGCTGTTTTTTTTTAAAGGCAGTAAATGAGGCTGAATCAGCTGTTTCGCTGCCAGACAAGGATCCGCTGATAGCCAGGTGTAGCAGTGGTAAGGTGTTGAGACTGCTGTAGGGACAGCTTTATGTAGACCCTAACAGTGTGTGGTCACCGTTATAGTGCAAATAATGTGTTGCGTTGTGTAGTGGATTTGCTGGCATGCATAAAAAAAAAAAATTGTGGCCACTGCTCCAGTGTTGCCAACTAATTTTCATGGGAAGTTGCTAGAGGCAGGTCGATTTGTTGCTAAAAGTTGCTAAATGACGTTGTGATGTCATTACGTAATAACGTAAAACTGCGTCACTATGTAGAATACACAATAACGTTACTCAAATTGACTGGCCATCTCAGCGACAAATATGATTTGACATTTGTTAGTTTAGATTTGTTTGTTTATTATCACATTTTTATTTGTAAAAGTAATATAAACACAACACATTTTATATGATCAGATATTTTTATTTTTAAACACAACACATTGAATTATTGAACAATTACACATTATTGAACAATTACATTTGATTTATTTTCTTATTAACTAGTAAACCTACACATTCTGAACAATTATAGTTTTAAGCAGTGTATTGGTAGTTAGTTAACATGCTACCTAACTGATCAACAATTAGAGGTACAAGCTAATTAACAAGGTATATATGCTATCTTATTGAACAAGCAACTTAAGTCGAATAATGATGTGTGCGCTAGGCATCTCTCTCCAGCTCTCTCCAGGTTGTTGTGCTGCTTGGCTGGCCTGCTGCTGCCTGTGCACGAGCTGAGCGCCTGCTGCTGACGTCACTCACCATGCACTTTTGCAGCCAGGCACGTGTGTTGTGACTGAGTGTGTGACAGAGAAAATCGTTTTTGTGTAATTTAGAGGGAAAATGCGTGCATTTCACTTTTCAAAAGTTACAAGAAGTTACATTATTGTATGGCCAATATTTGCTTATTTCAGATTCATGTGTGGGAGAGTGTGTGTGCAAGAGAGAGAGAGCATGTGTGTTACAGCTGAGAAGGGGGCCAGAGGACATCAGCAGTATATTTTCAGTCCCAGGTGAATAGCATTCAGAAAGATGTCATTGCAGAGGGCAGTGAGATGAACCCCATCCCTCAAAATTTGCCCTGGGTGACTGTTTAATGTCAGTGTGCTTTATTGCTGCTCCCCCCAA